CCGGTTTAACCACAAACTATTTTTACTATTGTTTCATTTTATGAGTTTATCCATTTTGGTGATTGTGTTTTGTTTTTTCTCCTATTTTAATGTTGGAGGGTTTGTTTCTTATTATTTATACTAAATTTTTTAAAATAATTTTATATTTTTCAAATGTCAGTGAGTGTAATTGAATTCACAATCTCTTTCAACATCGTTTTCAATTGAGATGAATATAATAAAATATCAATGAACATTTAATAAGTTCCTCTTTCATATATATATATATTTATATGAAGAACATGAGAATATTAAAATATTTTATTAAAATAGGTTGAGTTTCAAGTGATATATAATAAATAGTTACTACATACAAAGAATGAGTTTGTACATTTTTCTCTTATTTTTCTATATTGTTTATGTTGTTTATTTCTAGATAAACTTTTAAACGTTAATTACATATCAATTTTTCATAATTTTTTTTTTCTCTCAAGTATGACTTCACATACATTACAAATTTATCTCAAATATATTCTACCCATGAGTCCCTATTCATAAGACACTTCTTACATACGGTATACATTGTTGAATTTGCTCGATAACCAAAAAAACACATAAATGAAAGAAAGTAATTTCATATATCACGGAGTAAGTTCTCTATATAACATATACACATAGGATTCTCTGTATAACTAAAGAAATGCTATAACAAAATATTGTAAAGATGGTTAAAATAAAAACATCATGTAAAAACGGTAGACAATTTAATTAATTTAACATTGCTAGATGTTTTCTAATGGTCAATCTTTCTATACAATCATGATTTAAAATCACCGTATCACATTAATTATTAAAAGAAATATTTTATATTTTTAAATAGTATATTTAAATAATTAATACATGAAGAAAGAATAAAAGTGGTGAAATTGTAATTTAATCTTCAATCTTCTTGAGAGTGAGGAAGAGAACTCTAAACAAAAAGTAAAATCAAATATATCAAAAAGAAAAATTAGGGGCTAAAATAATTAAAGGATTTTTTTTATATAAAAAAAAAAAAAAAAAAAAAAAAAAAAAAAAAATAAAAAAAAAAAAAAAAAAAAAAATAAAAAAAAAATTTTATAAAAATAAAGAGAAGAAAAATAAAAAAAAAATAAAAAAAAAAAATATATATATTTATGTAATAAAAACTAAACACAAAATTAAAGTAAAAATATATATGGACAACTGACAAATTGGTATTTGTAATGTTTTTATTTGAGATATTAATGTCTTTATTTTTTTAATATATTTTATATTATTATAATTTGAAAGAAATAGATTGGTCATTTATTATACCAAAAATATTAAATATTTACCTTACCTAGTTATGAACATTTAATGTATTAAACTTTTAACGTACTCAGCATATTAAACTTTATAAAATATATTCTTAGGGGCACTTGACTGAGGGGTACACAATATATATATGCTACTTCTTGCTCTCGGCATCTTTGCTCGTGTTAAATGTTTTTGAATTCCAGTGTTGGAAGACTAGAGAAGAAGCTCGTGGCTCCTCAACGTGAGGATTTCAGTCAATGTTTCACACAAACATGTTTGATTCTCACCCTCACATGCTTGATATGTCACCCCACAAAACTGCTTTCTCTGAGACTGACCTGGGAAAGCCCAGAGATGATGAATATGAGACCAAGTCAGGCACTGACATGGACGCTCCTTCCGGCGACGACCAAGATCCCAACCCAAGACCCAGAAAGAAGGGTTACCGTCGCCACACACAGCGCCAGATAGAAGAAATGGAAGCGTAATCACTCTTATATTTATCACTCTTTACGTAACATCGTATATGTTTGCTTACTTGCTATTTTTCTTTTTCACTTCACTTTTATCAGCTTCTTCAAGCAGTGTCCTCACCCAGATGACAAGCAAAGAAAAGAGCTAGGCCGGGATTTGGGGTTAGAACCTTTGCAAGTCAAGTTTTGGTTCCAAAACAAGCGCACCCAGATGAAGGTAATTAAGTAAAAGAGATAGAGAGAGAGAGACTCTAAACAGCATATACCTTTACATTTGGTTGTATATATATTGATGAACATCTGCAGTATAGTTAATCTGTTTTCATTAAATGAGATTAAAGCTGTAACATTTTTCTTTAATTATGCTGGCGGTGTAGACTCAGCATGAACGACATGAAAATTCTATTCTGAAGGCCGAAAACGAAAAGCTTCGAGCTGAGAACAACAGGTACAAGGAGGCCCTAACCAATGCTACATGCCCCAACTGTGGAGGCCCAGCTGCCCTTGGCGAAATGTCCTTCGACGAACAGCACTTGAGGATTGAGAACGCTCGGTTAAGAGAAGAGGTACGTCGGGTCCGCTGCATGGTGTAAAAGATTATTCAACGTTTCTTTTCTTCTTCAGCATATAACCAATTTTCTTCTTGCATGGAAAAAAAAATCTTTAGATCGATAGGATTTCAGGAATTGCGGCCAAGTACGTTGGAAAGCCCGTGACGTCTTCGTACTCCAACCTTTCGTCACTCAACAACAATCACATGCCTGTCGGTAACTATGGAGCACAGTCAGGCACGGTAGGAGAAATGTACGGTGGAAGTGACCTTTTGAGGTCACTCCAAGCTCCAGCTGATGCTGACAAGCCCATGATCGTGGAGCTCGCTGTTGCAGCTATGGAGGAACTCACAAGACTAGCTCAGGCTGGAGACTCTTTATGGGTCCCCGGGAGCCACCACTCTGAGATTTTGAACGAAGAAGACTATTTGAGGACTTTCCCTAATAGGGGTTTAGGTCCCAAACCTCTGGCCTTGAGATCTGAAGCTTCAAGGGAATCTGTGGTGGTCATCATGAATCACATTAACCTGATTGATATCCTTATGGATGTGGTGAGTGATAATCAAACAACGGTCGTATATATTATAATTTGTAAAGTTAACGACTTGAGAATGACATTCATCGTTTGCCGGTTTCAGAACCAATGGTCAACTATGTTTTGCGGTATTGTCTCAAGAGCATTGACCCTTGAAGTCCTTTCAACTGGAGTAGCAGGAAACTACAATGGAGCCTTGCAAGTGGTACTAAACTTTCTACCTTTTTTATCTTATATAGTTAACAAATAATCTTTATTTCTTATTTTTCAAGAATGTGATTAAAGTTGTTCTTTAATGTTGCAGATGTCAGCCGAGTTCCAAGTCCCTTCACCGCTTGTTCCTACTCGTGAGAACTATTTCGTAAGGTACTGTAAGCAGCAACCAGATGGGATATGGGCAGTGGTGGATGTTTCTTTGGATAATCTGCGACCCAGTACGATCTCAAGAAGCCGAAGAAGACCCTCTGGATGTTTAATTCAAGAATTGCCAAATGGTTACTCCAAGGTAGAAAAACACATTTTCTAGCTTTATATTTCCACGGTTTATGATACGAAGGCAACATTCCAAGAAAACAGAACTATAATTTAATCTGTTGCTGCCTTCTTCTTCTCATATATTAGGTTACATGGATCGAACATGTAGAAGTGGATGATAGGGCGGTGCATAGCATATATAAAACCCTAGTCAATTCCGGTCTCGCCTTTGGAGCTAAACGCTGGGTGGCTACATTAGACAGACAATGCGAACGTCTTGCCAGTTCAATGGCCAACAACATACCAGCAGGGAATCTCTGTGGTATGTTTATCAACTTAACTTTTTAAGCCCCTTCAATAATACTTATTTTAAGATCTGTTTGTTTGTTTATATAAGATGTTCATATACTGAAATAGATGAGTAGAGTGTGACCTTGTTTCCAATATCCTTAAAAAATGCAGTGATAACCAGTGCTGAGGGAAGAAAAAGTATGCTGAAACTGGCAGAGAGAATGGTTATTAGCTAATGCACTGGTGTAGGTGCTTCTACTGCACATGCTTGGACAACTCTATCCGCAACTGGATGTGATGACGTAAGGGTCATGACTAGAAAGAGCACTGATGAACCTGGCAGACCACCCGGCATAGTGCTCAGTGCTGCCACTTCTTTCTGGCTCCCAGTTCCTCCAAAGAAGGTTTTTGATTTCCTACGCGATGAAAACTCAAGAAACGAGGTATTCATAATATTTCAGTACTTATAAGAAATCAGCAATTATTTGGTAACTAACGATACATTCACAGTGGGACATTCTTTCTAATGGGGGTCTAGTTCAAGAATTGGCACACATAGCAAATGGCCGTGATCCTGGCAACTGTGTCTCCCTACTTCGAGTCAATGTAAGTTGCTGCTATAGCATTCCAGTGAGGAACCTTTTTGGCGTAAATGTCATGATAGATGAGATATAAGCTAACAGTTTCTTTGATATATGGTACAGAGTGCAAATTCAAGCCAAAGTAATATGCTGATACTTCAAGAGAGTTGCACTGATTCTACTGGCTCGTATGTAGTTTATGCTCCTGTGGATATTGTAGCTATGAATGTAGTAATGGGTGGAGGGGATCCAGATTATGTTGCCCTGCTTCCCTCAGGCTTTGCTATTCTTCCTGATGGGCCTGGAATGAATGGTGGGTCAATAGTTGATGTTGGATCAGGAGGTTCTCTACTCACAGTTGCCTTCCAGATCTTGGTTGATTCAGCTCCAACAGCAAAACTATCTTTGGGTTCAGTTGCTACTGTTAACAGTCTAATTAAGTGCACGGTTGAAAGGATCAAGGTCGCAGTGATACGTGACAACACCTAATTTCACATGGTAATCAAATTAACTATTTGCAAGTTTTAAGACTTAAATCATTATGCAGAATAACTTGTTGAGAAGAATAATTTAGGTCATTGTTCTGATACTGTTTTCCTTTTTGCAGTGTTATAACAAGGGTAGTAGAGTTGAAATTAACAAGCTCAGAGTGGTGCCTGTTTGGTTTTCAGAAGAGGGAAAGAAGTCAATGAACGCACCTCGGAGAATCACTTCAATGGTAGAACTTGGAAGAATCTTAGGTTCGGGTATTGACTTTCACTGATGAAAACTAAAATAGTTCCATCCAGCTTTTAATATTTTAACTTAGAATAACTGCAGATTTTCATGTTCGCTATTTATTTTTAGTGCAGTATTTGTAGGCCTAAGCAAACTTTTCTCAAGTGGGTTATGTTCACTTTTTCTATTGTATTGTAAACTAAAGCAAATTTTCGTCTATTTATCAAGTGTTCTTTTAACGTTGCCGACTATGTTTATCATCTCAGTTTTACTCATTGCCTATACGTCTTACTATAAAAACATGGTTCAAAATTTCCATCATCATCTAAGATATGTTCATGCAAAAGATTTTCATGATCAATTATTAAAGAAACTATCTGAAAATTCTTTCAGTGAATAATCATTTGCAAGTATGATGCATTGACTTGGCTTACCGTAGTGGTGTAAATTACTTAAAATATTGCGTTAACGAAGCGTACCTAAATTAAGGTAAAATGTGAATAGGTGGTACATTCTCTACGGCTTCATATCCTACTTACTAACCTATAGTCTTGAATTTAAGAGGGATACCGGTTTTTTGGCGAGTGTAATGATTGAGTAAAATAGTTCAAATTTCCTTTCTCAACATTATAATTATATATACTGTTTCTGAACAATATTCAAAGATAACACTTTCATTACTTCTATTTTTCCCTCAAATTATTTACGTCTTTGGTGTATTTTTTTTACCATGATATTTTAACAACTCTTTTTAACAACAAACGATGTGTCATTATTTTATTGGTCTGTATATTTGAAACGGACCAATCACACGTTACCACATAAGTTGTTGTTAAAAAGTTGTCAAAAATAATTTTTAAAGAGAAATTTTTCATTTTTTTTATCATATAGATTGATCATTATTTAATACAATGATTAGATTTTTAGAAAGTTTGATTGTATTATTGAGATGGAGATGTTTTATTAATTGAATTATAGGTTTATATAACTATACAAAATATTACATAATTATAATTTTTTTTAATTTAATTATGTTTTGTAAGAATAAAATATTATAAGATTAATAAAAAGATATATGAATGAAAATAAATAAAATGACTTATATTTTTTAATTAATATGAATGATCATTTTACAATTCAACCATGAGTTTTTTTCAAAAGATAATATATCTAAATTATTTGATTTAAAATATTAATAATGCGCCTACGAAATTGATTATTTCTTCGAAACAAATCAAACTTCTTTTGTCATATTTTATTATATTTACTATATAATGTAAGAGTCTGATATTTTAGTTATAAATTAAGTTGGGATAATATATTCTACCTCTTAGCAAAATTAATTACTTTTAGAAATCTTTTACTGATGCTATTGAATTATTTATGAAATATGTCAAGTTAAGCCTTGGTGAGGTGTGAAATGGATAAGTTGTTGACTACTCAAATGACACAGAGAAATGGACACTCGATTTCTTATGTGGGTTATTACGATGTCACATGTTAATATCAAAACTAAGATAATAATCATTTGAGATTAGAGGAATTTCATTGACAATTATCATTTTTAAAAATTAATAATTATTTATATGTTATTGTAATTTATGTTACCAGTTCTTGTTTTATATATGGAAACCGTACGTGTAGTAGTTCACACAATTTCACACCGTATCAAGTTCTTTACATATGTATGAATTTGCTTGAATGGTCATACTTTATAGTTTTTTGTTTAGATATAATTTGAATTTTAAGTTAATATTAATCCATTCATTAAACAATAATTAAATGAAAATCTATTTGTAAGTTAACCTTGTTTTATGCAAAAATATAAACTTATTTATGAGATATTTTTTGTATTCCTTAAATTGATATTCTTTTGCGTAATTTGTTATGGAGTGTTCTAATACAGAAGGATGCATGTAAGTATAGGGCAGCTTTCCTAAAATGTAAATAATGTTAAAGTAAGTCGTATTAGTATAGTTTGAATAACATAAAAAATCTAGCTTATCTAAATAATTTGAATTTTGTAAAAAGGCTGAAGTGCTTCATTTATAATATATTATTCTTTTGTACATTAAACAAAATTTTCTAACATACTTTAGTGCCACATGAACATGTTAACATGAGAAAAATATTAAGATTTTAATTCGTGCTGACATTGTATTAAAAAAAATATTTCAATCTGTTTGAAAGTTTGGATATTAAATAATCTTGAAAGGGCATGCAAAAAAATAAGAATCATAGTTCTGTTAGTATGTAATACTAAATAAGAAAAAGATTCCATTTTTCTTTTGTCTTATCTTCTCTAAGTTTGAGACCTAAAAAATCTCACTCAATCATTTCAAACTGTGGTCTCTGTATTTCATTCATTAACCACTTTTACACCATTATTTAAATTGTTCTTTTATGATTTAAAATATACTTCACTTTTAAAAAAAATTATTTATTATAAATATAATTTCCAGCATAAATAGCCGTATTCTATATTTGGTAAAACAAACCTAAAAGTGGAAATACATAAAATCATAAAAAATTGAACAAGAGTTGGTGAAAGCATTGAATGTTGTTATAAACAAGAGCATTCAGAAGTCCGTAAGTAGGTGCTGTTTTTTTAAAAGGTGTGGGGTATGAAAATGATTCATAAAATAAAGTTCCTCCATTTTAATAATATATAAATAAACTCTTTTTAAATGCATTTTATAATTCATAAAAAATATTATTCTTAAAATCTTTTATGAGTGAAACTTATTTACTTATGATATAAATTAGAAAAAATATTAATCAATACTCTTTTAAGAATGGATTTTATTATATAAAAAACACGCGTTATTATAATTAGTTGAAATATATATATATCATATTTTATTAGCATATGTTGTATTTTCTTTCTAGTTTTTAATGGTTTGGACATGTAGTCCCAAAATATTCCTAAGTATTGACTATACACAGAGAATTACTATTTTATGGTGTGTTTGGTGTGGTAAATTTAATATTCATAAAGAACGATATGAGTGCATTGGTGAGAATTTTGAGTATTTGGTATTAGTAGATATGTGTGAAGAAAATGTGTGAAATTGAAAGGTGTAAATGATTATTCTGTTTTCAATTACTTATTTCATTTTTCTTTAGTTTTAAATTATTATTGTCAATTAATAAATAATATTAGTTTGAAAAATACTTCATTTTCATTTTTTAACCTTTTTTCCAATAAAA